GCCCTGGGTGCTGGTGGGAGTGCAAGCTGCCTAGTCAGAGGCAGAGGGCAAAGGGACAGCTCACTACCGTTTGGCTGTCACCAGAGTGCCAGCATTTTTATGCCAGTTCTGAGCCCAAATGTCTCCTGGGTGATGCCAGGGGACACCTGCTCGAGGAGCAGATCTTCCATGAGTCCTTCATTTTCGTCTGTCTGTCTGTCTGTTCTCTCTGCTGTGCCAGAGCCTACAGCTGTGGTCCGTCCCCTGTAGCACAGTTCTTGGCATTTTAGGTGTCCCAGCCTGTCAGCCCATGTTTATCACTCCTCTCTATCAGGAGAGGGTGATGTGTGAGGCTCCAAGAAGCGTGTTGTGGAAGGAGCCCTGGGGCCCTGGCTGTCATCCTTCCCTGCATCTTTCAGTCCCAGAGACCCCGAGCGAGTCCTCACCAGGCCCACTAGCCGGGCTGTGGGGACTCTGATGGGAAATGGGGCCTTGACTGGCCGTTTTGACTGTTGATCGATCGTGCCAAGGCACCATGATCTGAGCCTGGACCAGTGTGGAGGAGGCTTAGGAAGCTGGCGTGTGTGTGTGCGTCTGCAGAGGGGCTGTGTTGGTTTGCAGAGTGGTGGGGTGGGCTGTACCAGCCTGAGCCGTGCTGTCCTCTCTCTCTTGCAGAGCAGCAAGATGGGCATGGAGGCTGTGATGGCCTTGCTGGAGGCCACGCCCGACACACCGGCCTGCGTGGTCAGCCTCTCCGGGAATCAGTCTGTGCGGCTGCCTCTCATGGAGTGCGTGCAAGTGGTGGGTGTCGCTCCCCTAGCTTCCTCTTAAGTCCTCGGCTTCTGGGTGGGGGACGAGGGTTGCCGTAGGAGAGGAAGGGGCTTCCCGGGCTTCGGAGAAACTGGCCAGAGGGAAGTGTGGAGGTGGACACATGTAGCCGGGGAGCTGGGAGAGCAAGGTCTCGGCTTCCTGGGGGCCGTGGCATTGGGTAGGTGACTGGGTATGTGGGGTTGGGGTGAGGGATGGAATTACTGGGTACGGCTCTGGCAGGTGTATGGGGGGGTCATTAGGGTAGCCAGAGCAGGGACGCTAGGATGGAGTACAGTTGAGGGCAAAAGGGCTGTGAGGCCAAGCAAGGAGATGCTGGCTTTGGCTCAGGGTGTGGTGGTGGTGAGGATGCTCCGTGGCTGGGGTAGACAGAATGCTGGAGGCAGGAGGAAGGCTTGGTCCTGACCCCCTTAGGAAATCTACTAATGTCAGTCCAGGCCCTGCTTCAGGTATTGTTATGTGGGTGAGGGATGGGGTGGGGGGGGCCCTCCCATTCCCAAGGCTCTGGTCAGGCTCTGAGGGGGTTTGAGACACAGGGAAACATGTGAAGCACAGGGCTGATTTGTCCCTAGGTAAAGGAGGACTCATGTCTGGGCCGGGTGGGCCTCCTGAAAACTGACTGGGCTCAGGACACGAAGGTGTTGGCTCAGAGTCCCTTCTTGAGGCCAGCAGGCTGGGTCTGTGAGGCCTCCTTGACCACCCGGCTCTCTTTTCTCTTTAAGACAAAGGAGGTGCAGAAGGCCATGGATGAGAAGAGGTTCGACGAGGCCATCCAGCTCCGTGGCATGTAAGGGTAGCCAGCCTTTAGGGCAGTGGGGAGGAAGGGGTGAGCATGGACCGGCATTCGCTGATGGTGCTCTGCAGGCCCTGGGCGCCCCCCCCCTCCCCTTGGCACTCTGGGCTAGTACCCACTGTTATAGGAGCTGAGGGGAGGTAGCCCCTGTGATGCCAATTGCCAACTGTGAGGTGTGGGGCTGCCGTGCCAGGGAGGGACCTATAGGGTGCGTGGGGGGGCGGTAGTGGTGCTGAGGGATGGACAGAGGTCACGGCCAGCTTTGGAATGCCCTACTGAAGGGCAGGGAGGGCCAGCGGGTATGTGGACTCTAGCCCTTGGTGGCATGGGGTGCCACCTCCTGCAGGTACCTGGTCCTGTAGGCCTGACTAGTATATTCTGGCTGGCTGCCCAGGCCATGGGCTTTGTCACATGAGGGACACACCCTGTGTCCTGTTGGATCTCAGGGATCTGTTGAAGATGTTTGTGTGGGATGTAGCCACAAGACAAGCTGACCGCACTGGGTCTGGCTCCTTAGGATCTGAGTTCTGGCCCCATGCTGAGCATGCACTGAGCTTCAGAGTCCCGTGTGCTCGTGCCCTGCTCTGGCTTTTGAGCGGCCGTCACTCTGCCTCCCCGAGTTCACGGCTGTCTGTGGCTGCAGGGGTGAGGTGGGGCTGTGAGCTTCACCATCTTCTTCCTTTCCAGGAGCTTCGAGAACAACTGGAAAATCTACAAGCTCCTTGCCCACCAGAAGATCTCTAAGGAGAAGGTAAAGAGGAGGGCAGAGACCATGGCTGCAACGGTTCTGCCATCTTCCGCTTCCTCCCGCCTCACTGCTGTCTCATGGATTGCTGAGCTCCGAGTTTGGGGCTTGGGTGTGGCTGGCCCCAACTCCTCCTTCCTGCCCGAGGTCTTAGCCATGCCCTGAGGACTGGACTCAGCTTTGCTTTGTGGCCACAGGGCCCAGTCTAGGGCGTCTCAAGGACTGTGGAAGAACGTGGCCCTGATGGGACTTGGTGGAAGGTGACAGTGCCTTGAGCTATGGGGACAGCTGAGACCCTGGGGAAGGTATCTCCAGGGCAAGAGCAACGGAAGGGCTGGTTCCTGCTACTCGGGGGACCAGGACAGGGCCCCACTCAGATACTCTGAGCTGGCACACTGGATCATACAGCTTATGGGTCTATCACTTTGTATCAACATAGCACCAAGCCAGTTCTTGGTACGATGTTAGCTGCTGTGAGACTGGGTGGCCCCTCCCCCCATGGCTGTACCACCTCAGTCTGAGCATGGCCGATGCCTGAGGGCTTTGAAGCAGCTGTTTACCCAGCCTATCAGGCTGTGCCTGTGAGCCTGCTCTCAGGCGGTGTCCACTGAGCATGCCAGGTGACCTTGTGATGTACGCAGGACTTGTGCTCTCTCTCATTTGGTCTTTCCCAGAACTTTCTGGAATGAATAGGACATTACTATTATGAATGAATATTACTCCCATGTTGGATAGCATTCGGGCTGGCTAGGGATCCATCGGGCCCCGGGGCTTATATTTCTGTCGCGTCTCCTTTTTTTTTCTGAAGTCCAATTTCTCCCTGGCCATCCTGAATGTGGGAGCCCCCGCCGCCGGCATGAACGCCGCTGTGCGCTCTGCAGTGCGCACCGGCATCTCCGAGGGACACACAGTGTATGTTGTGCATGATGGTTTCGAAGGCCTGGCCAAGGGTCAGGTAGGTGCCGCGGCGATGCAGGCGGTGGCTGGGGTTGGGGGCTCAACCCCTCACATTCAGAGATCTGAAGGGTGCTGGATGTGTAAACACAACAGTCCTGTTCAGGGACATGAAGAAATGTGATAGCCCATGGGGAGGGGCTGGCTGCCCTGGGAGTGGAAACTGGGACTCTGTTCTTTTTTTTTTTTTGGTTTTTCAAAACAGGGTTTCTCTGTGTAGTTTTTGGTGCCTGTCCTGGATCTTGCTCTGTAGACCAGGCTGGCCTTGAACTCACAGAGATCCACCTGCCTCTGCCTCCTGAGTGCTGGGATTAAAGGACTGCGCCACCGCCGCCAGGCTGGGGGACTCTGTCCTCTTAATCAGCCCTGAGACCCAGGCCCCTGCTTTGGGGTGATGGCCAGCACTGACAGAGTCTCTGTCCCCTGCCTGAGGAGTCACACTGGTGAGACCTTGGGCCACCTTCCTGAAGCCATGTTCTTCCTGGCAGGTGCAAGAAGTGGGCTGGCATGATGTGGCAGGCTGGCTGGGGCGAGGTGGTTCAATGCTGGGGACCAAGAGGTGAGTAGCTGGTGGCTGAATGCGCACAGCCTAGCTGATGGGACAGAGAGTGACTAGTCCTGAAGTCCAGGGCCGGCCCTTTGGACTCCTGGGTGAGCCAGGCAGAGAGGGTGCTGCCCAGTGTCTCATGCCTGCCCTGCGGTGTGGGGACACTCGGTGGCAGGCAGCCAGAGCAGAGGTGTCCCTCATGAGAGATGGGCTATTCCTTCTGGTTGTGGCTGTGGGGTTTTTTTGTTTTTTGTTTTTTAAGATTTATTTTTATTTATTATGAATACAGCATGTATGACTACAGACCAGAAGAGGGCACCAGATCTCATTACAGATGGCTGTGAGCCACCATGTGGTTGCTGGGAATTGAACTCAGGACCTCTGGAAGAGCAGTCA